TCCAATTTTTTGTGTCATTTTCAATTTCTTTTTTTAGCTTCTCATACTTTTCCTTGTGGAGGTCTTTAACTTCTTTGATTAGATTTATTCCTAGGTATCTTATACTTTTTGTAACTGTGGTAAATGGCATTACTTTCTTCAGTTATATCTTAGTCTGCCTGCTATTCATATAATGAAATGCTATAGACTTCTGTATATTGATTTTTGTATCCTGCAACTTTACTGTATTCATTTATCACTTCCAGGAATTTTTTTCATAGATACCGTTGGGTCTTCTATATATACAACCATGTCATCTGCAAATAGAGATAATTTCACCTCTTCTTTTCCTATTTGCATGCCTTTTATTTTATTCTCTTTTCTGACAGCATTGGCAAAGACTTCCAGTACTATACTGAAAAGGAGTGGAGAAAGTGAGCATCTTTGTCTTGTACCAGTTTTTAGTAGAAAAGCTTTCAGCTTTTCCCCATTCAGGATGATATTAGCTATGGATTTTTCATAGATAGCTTTTATTGTGTTGAGGAATGACTCTTCTACTACTCTTCATTTTGTTGATCTTTGCTATTTTTTCTAGTTCTATTGTATTTATTCTCTTATCTTGTATTATTTCCTTCCTTTTACTAATTTTGGGTTGGATTTGTTCTTGGTTTTCTAGTTTCTTAAGGTGAAATGTTAGGTTGCTTACTTGAAATCTTTTTTCTTTTTCATGTATTTGTTTATTGCTATAGAATTCCGTCTTGGATCTGCTTTATATGTATCCCATAGGTTTTGGTATATTGTCTTCAAATTTTTGTTTGTCTAAAGAAATTTTTAAATATATCTCCTAATTTCTTTATTGATTTATTGGTTATTTGGTAGCATGTTGCTTAATTTCCATGCATTTGTGACTTTTTCAAAATTCTTTGTTTTTGATTTCTAGTTTTGTACTATTGTGATCAGGAAAGGTACTTGATACAATTTCAGTTTTCTCTTGTTAAGACTGTTTTATGGCCTATATATGATCTTTACTGAAGAATGTTCCATGTGCAGTTGAGATAAATATGTATTCTATAGCTATTGGATAGAATGTTCTATAATTGCCTGTTAGGTTCATTTGGTCTAGAGTGCAGTTTAAATCTGATGTTTATTTATTGAATTTCCACTTGGTGATCTGCTCAACGTTCAGAGTAGGGTGTTAAAGTCTCATACTATTATTATATTGTAAGATATATCCTTTTAGATCTATAATATTTGCTCTTTTTTTTTTTTTTTTTTTTAGAACTTTTTTCTATAGGGCACATGAGCTTGTCAGATAGAAAGAGAGACAGAAAATGAGAAATCACCCCTCCATTCTCTCCTAGGGATTTTGGGCATGCATGCACACACACATACTCAACATAAGTTTCAAGCCGCTGTGTCTGGGACTTGAACCATGGTCAGCCATGTGGGAGTCCAGTGGCTTAACAACTGCACCACCTGCTGGCCCCAGCACATATATATTTACAATTGTTATATCTTCTTGATGAATTGACCTCTTTGTCATTATATAATCATCTTTGTCCCTGTTTACAGTTTGACTTCCATTTTATCTGATATAAGTATAGTTGCTCTTGCTCTTTTTGTTTCTATTTGTGTGGAATATTTTTCATCCCTTCACTTTCAGTCTACATGTGTCCTTATAAGTGAAACAAGTCTCTTGTAGACAATATATAATTGAATATTTTAGTTGGAGAATTTATTTCATTTGCATTCAAAGTTATTATCTATAGGTAAAGACTCATTACTGCTCTTTTGTTCATTGTTTTGTAGTTGTTTTGTAGGTACTTTCTTCCTCTCATCTTCTCTTACTGTCTTTTTTTGTGGTAAAGTTACTTTCTTTTTATTTTTTGAGAGGTTTTTGCCTTAGGATGTGTGCCCTCACCAAACAGAGAGAGAAAGACAGAGACAGTGAGAGGGAAAGTGAGAAATCACCTCGGGGGGCGGGGGGGGATGGCCATAACACTTTCTTTTCTCCTCCATTCTCCTCCAGGTATCTGGGGCATGCATGCACGTGCATTGGCATGAGTTTCAAGCCATCAGGTCCAGAACTAGAACTGCTTTTGTCTATGTGGGAATCCAGCGACATAACCACTATGCCACCTGCTGGTCTCAATATACATTAGTAGTGTATATTGATTTTCTACTTCTTATTTATAGTCTATCTATTATAAATTTTTCTTTTGTGATTACCATGGTAATTTACAAAACACATTTTCTAATTATAACAGATTACCTTAATCCAATAAAATTTATCATTTTTTTAAATGAAGATTTTTACCATAGTATGTATGCACTTATCAGAGACAAAAGAAGACAGAGAGAGATGGAAATCACCTCCCGGGGGTGGAGAGCATGATCACATTCCAATTCTTTTTCCTCTCTGGACTTTAGGCATGCATGCATAGACACCCAACGTATTTATGAATATATATGTAAATAAATAGTTACAAACAGGTAGATATATGTAAATATAAACTATTTGTTTACAAACACACACACAAATAGAAATCAACCCATGGATCCACACATACGCTAAGAAAGAAAGAATAAGTTTAGAAGTTGAGGGAACCAGCAGTTAGTGTAATGGCTATGTTGCTGGACTCCCACATAGTTGACCGTGGTTTGCGTCCCAGACCCAGTGGTTTAAAACTCACACCGGGCGCGTGTGCGTGCATGCCCAAGATCCCGAGAGGAGAATGGAGGAGAAGGGATTGCGGCGTGACCATCCCCCCTGGGGGGTGATTTCTCACTTTCTGTCTCTATGTCTCTGTCTGTCTGGCGAGTGCACACGCCCTATAGTGAAAACCTCTCCAAAAAAAAAAAAAGAAGTTGAGAGTCAGGATGATTTATGTCAATACATTGTATATTTTACATTTTTAATTAATTTGTTTTTTAATTGAAAAGGACATGTGCACTTATAAGAGATAGAGACAATGGGACATGGTACATGCTCATGCTGCAATTTTTTTTCCCTCTATTCCTCCTTCCTATGAGATGTCGAGCATGCATACATACACCTGGTATGTTATTGAAGCTACCAGAGCTGGTGTCAAACCAAGGCTGGTCATGTGGGAACTGGGTCCCTTAATCACTGTGCTATAAAGCCAACCTTGGTGTCTTTTATTATTATTATTATTAATGATAGAGAACATACAGGCACATATAAGAAGGTAAGACAGAAGTAGAGAGAAATAGGGAAGCACCCTTGACAGGGTCTGGGTCTTGTCATGACACAATTCCCTTTCCCCAACCCTCCAGCACATCAGGATCTTGAGTGCCCATGCATATACTCAGCATGTTTTGAGGTGACCCAGAGATTGGAACCTGTGATCAGCCGTGTGGTTTTCAGTGTTGTGCTCCAATATACTACAAACTGTGCCACCAAGCTGGGCCAATACAGAACATCTTTAACACTGTTTCTAAGTGGTCTCATTAGCATATAAAAATATCTTTCTATTTTTTAAAATTGATTTAGATAAAAGGTGAAGAATAGATCATAGAGGGACCAGCAGTTAGCGTAATGGCTATGTCGCTGGACTCCCACGTAGTCGACCATGGTTCGTGTCCCGGACCTGGTGGCTTAAAACTCACACCGGGCGTGTGTGTGTGTGTGTGTGTGCCCAAGATCCCGAGAGGAGAATGGAGGAGAAGGGATTGCGGCGTGACCATCCCCCCTGGGGAGTGATTTCTCGCTTTCTGTCTCTCTGTCTCTCTCTGTCTTTCTGGCGAGCGCACGCACCCTATAGTGAAAAAAACTTCTCCAAAAAAAAAAAAAAAAAAAAAGGGCTAAAGAAACTCGCTTTCTGTCTCTCTGTCTCTCTCTGTCTTTCTGGCGAGCGCACGCACCCTATAGTGAAAAAACTTCTCCAAAAAAAAAAAAAAAGAATAGGTCATAGAAATGCTTCCTTCTTTTGGTGATTTTGGCACTATGAGTAATCACTAGCTGAAATTCTCAAGAAATTTTCAGAATGCTTGTATATGAGACTTTATTAAGTGAAAGGAGGAGAAAATTTCTTGAGGAGCAAGGAGAAGATAGCAATAGATAGTGAACAGTGGAACCTTCATTAGAAAAGGAGAAAGCCAATGCATTTCAGATATGTCCCTCACCCTCCTTATCTCTATAATCATGTGAGGTAGGTGCCCCAAATCCAAAACCAAACTTACATTAGATTTTACCCCAGCATAGGCCTGTAACTAATAGATCCTATCTGAGGAGCAAGAAAGACAACCATGATGGGTGAAAGCAAGGAGGTGATGAATGGACAAGGTGAACAAGAAATTAGATAGGACTAAAAGGATGGAAACTTATTAAAGAATTTGAATTTTAAATAAATTCCACCTTAAAAGGTTATTACATCTTCTCAAGTTCAGTAGGGGGCTTAAGAATAAAGAAACTGGATGGGGCATTCATGCTTAAAAACTGCAATTGAATTTGAAAGCAATTAATCCGTATATTACTTTCATATTATTATTATATTTAATATTAAGCAATTAAACTTAAATATTGAATTTTTAAATTTTCACAGACCTAAAATATTCATTACAAATAAAAAAGCATTTGTGTAGAGAACATATCTTCAAGTTTCCAAAAATCTGGTTTACATGTGAATTAAGGGTCAACCTTTTTTTTTGGAGAGGTTTTTGCTACAGGGCGCATGCGCTCGCCAGGAAGACAGAGAGAGACAGAGAGATAGAAAGTGAGAAATCACCCCCCGGGGGGGTGGCCATGCCACAATCCCTTCTCCTCCATTCTCCTCTCAGGATCTTGGCCACGCATGCACATGTGCCCAGTGTGAGTTTAAGCCACCGGGTCTGGGACTAGAACCGCGGTCGACTACATGGGAGTTCAGTGAGATAGCCATTACGCTAACTGCTGGTCCCAAGGGTCAACCGTTTTATAAATTGTACAGAGATTGTAAATAATTTGCAAAAAATTTTTAGGATGTAATGTTGTCTAACTATATGTATTTTTAAAATTATAGTGCTACTACATATGAATTTCCCTCAGTATCCCATTATGGAGAAAGGTGAGCTTTATATAAACAAAGATATATCAATAAATAGTTACAGATAAGTATACATATATACCATTCATACATGTATGCATACATATATATTATACAAACAGCAATCCCTGGTCTCAATATATATATAGATAGATAAATATGAAGATTTGGGAAGTAAATAATCAGGAGAATCTATTGCCAATACAGAATATCTTTTGACATAATTTCTAAGTGGAGTCTCTATAGTAACTATAAGTACCTTTATGCCAATTTGGACCAATTTTAATGAAAAAGGAATAGGTCATAATGAATGTTTTCTCTGCCTGGAATGTTTGACAACCTGAGAAACCACCAGCCAAAATCCTTACAGTATTTTCAGAATGTCTATGTATGAGACTTTATTATAATAGATTGGGTGAAGAGAGGAGAGAATCCTGTTTGGAACAAGGAAGAGATAGCAGCAGAGAGAGAGTAGAGGAGTGTTCAGCATAAAAGGATGGAACTAATAGGCCTCAACTGAATCCTTCACCCTCCATGTCTCTGCCTCCATGAAAGACTGGTAGCCCACATCCAAAACACCGTTATATTGTATTATACCCCAGCTCAGTCCTGTAGCTACTAAACCCTATCTGAGTAGCAAGAAGACCACCATGATAAGTGAAAGGAGGTGATACAGAAACAAAGGGAGCAGGAAATTAGATGGAATTAGAAGATGGGTATCTATAAGCTGAAGTTGAATTTTAAAAATTCTAGCATAAAGACTTCTGCTCTTAGCCAACTATTTTTTTTTTTTCTTTTTTGGAGAGGTTTTTGCTATAGGGCACATGCGCTCGCCAGACAGATAGAGACAGAGAGACAGAAAGTGAGAAATCACCCCCAAGGGGGGATGGTCACGCCGCAATCCCTTCTCCTCCATTCTCCTCTTGGGATCTTGGGCACTCACGCACATGCTCCCGGCGTGAGTTTTAAGCCACCGGGCCTGGGACGTGAACCGCAGTCGACTACGTGGGAGTCCAGCGACATAGCCATTATGCCAACTGCTGGTTCCCTTAGCCAACTATTGACCTAAGAATTCTAAGCCCACATATAACCTACAAGCCCCTCCCCTCCATGCTCTACCTTTTTTGGCCAGGCCATATGAAAACTCTGTGTGTTGATTTACAGTTTTGTTTGTATCTCCACCTCTCAGAACTAAATAAAAGAGGTGCTGTAACTAAGCACCCCAGGACACTTTCTTGAGCTCTTGGGGAACGTGCTCCCAGCCAGTGATCACTCACAACTGAGTAAACATTTTTAAATAGTTAAAATAAAAAAAGAAGAAAAAAATGCCAGCACAAAAAAGGTTGTTACATATTGAGTCAGATTCAATAGTATAGAGATATACTTTAATATTATCATTACATTTTGTTACATATTAAATTATTTCCTACAAAAATATAAATCACCTTTGTTAGGGGATTTAACATTAGATTCCAAATAACTTACATGTGAACTTTTTATGCTGCAGAATAAATGTAACTAATGTGAATTTAAAAAACAAGTCAAGGAAGTTGTATGGTGTCTTATTCTGTATCTTTTTGTTCCTTTAGCACTGCCCCATTTAAATTAGAATCAGTATCCTCATGTGGCCTTTCCAATTCAATGTAAGATATATGTCAGTCAGTATACTTACATTACATCTATACATGCATGTATACATAACATGTAGAGTGCTATTCTATTTCCTCCATATCAAATAGTACTGGCAGGACCATCATAGAATACAGAGTTCTACTGAAAATGTTTCTTCTAAAATTCTTTCTTGTCAAACTTCTGAATGGAATATTCTTTGTCTTTTGAATAGAATGATAGAATAATAGAATAGAACAGAACAGAACAGAACAGAATAAAACATGGAATAGAGTAGAATAGAAGTAAGAAGTCATATAGGTAATCTTTTTTGTTTTTTTGGAGAGGTTTTTGCCATAGGCACCTGCTCTCGCCAGACACACAGAGACAGAGAGACAGAAAGTGAGAAATCACCCCCCAGGGGGGATGGCCACGCCGCAATCCCTTCTCCATTCTCCTCTCAGGATCTTGGGCACACACACACACGCACCCGGCATGAGTTTTTTAAGCCACTGGGTCTGGGACTCGAACCGCGGTCTACTACATGGGAGTCAAGCAACATAGCCATTATGTTAACTGCTGGTCCCCATATAGGTAGTCTTAACCCTAGTCTTTTTCACCTTTAGTTACTCCTAGTGAGAACTACTAGAGTGGGCCATAGGAGCAGAGTATCCCATTTGGAACACTGGACAGGAACACTGAAGTTCTCAGAGAACAGAACAGAGATAATAGCCCTGGAAATGTTCCTCACCCTCCAGAGCTCTGCAATTACGTGAAGTCTATGCCCTATACTCAAACCTACCATCACACTGATTCAGAGCTGCAGTAATTTTATCTTAATGTGACAGCAGGGATAGCACATAGGTTGGTGAAAGTAAAAAGTCAATGGAGGGGGAACCAGCAGTTAGTGTAATGGCTATGTTGCTGGACTCCCACGTAGTCGACCACGGTTCGCGTCCAGGACCTGGTGGCTTAAAACTCACGCCAGGCGCATGTGTGTGCATGCCCAAGATCCCGAGAGGAGAATGGAGGAGAAGGGATTGCGGCGTGACCATCCCCCTTGGGGGGTGATTTCTCGCTTTCTGTCTCTATGTCTCTCTCTGTCTGGTGAGCGCACGCGCCCTATAGCAAAAACCTCTCCAAAAAAAAAAAAAAAGTCAGTGGAGGGACTTGAGAATCAACTAATAGATGCAGTAAAAGAAATTTAGAAAGTAAGGAGATGATGAAGGGACCAAAGAAACAGTCAATTAAGTGGGATGAAAAAATAGATACTTACAAACTGAAGCTAAATTCAAAATTAATTCCAGCACAAAACGTGGTTACATATTGGGTCAGGAGTGTAACAAAAAACTGTACTTAAAACTTCAGTCATTAAGCTGGTCTTGTATAAGTCATTATTTGCAATAAAATATGTTGTATTTTCAAAGTCTATTTATAAAATATTTTAGGACTAAAATAGTCTTTTTTTTTTTCTTATAGGGAATATAACAAATTTGATTGCAAATAACTGACCTACACATGACTTTTTTTGGGAGGAGGGGTGAGGTTTTTGCTATAGGGTGAACATGTGAACTTTTCTCTCTAGTCCAGTTGATAAACTATAAAATTATCTTCAACAGATAATACCACATTTCTTTGTTCCATTAATGCTTTACCTCTCTATTTTTCTTCTAAATGTCCTTCCTCAGACCCCTCTTTCCCACACACTATATCTGGTATTCACATCCATTTACTGTGTTTCTATATCCTTTAGTCAATCAGTTTCTGTCATAGAGTGCGGACACTCGCACATTGTGGTTAAGTTCTATAGTGAAGAACTGAACTGAAATCTTAATAAGTTTTGTAACAAGCCTTATTCATTGCAGTCATATAAAGATTCACATCTATGGAGAATGGACATATAATTTTCCAAATATCTCATTTACTTGTGAACTGAGTCAACCAGTTTGTAGATTGTACAGGAATTGTAGCTAATTTGAACCAAGAAATTAAATCCATTAAGTTATGTATTGTCTGACTTTATGTATTTTTAAATCCCCTAGCTCTGGTGCATATGAACTCCTCTCAATACCCCATGATGAAGCTGTTAATGAAATGTGAGATACATATAATATATATATAAACAATAAAGATATATCGATAAAGAGTTATAGTTGGTAGATCAATACTAGATAAAAATTGACTGTTTACACACACAAACACATACACACACATATCCCTGGACCCAACATACATAGAGAAAAAGGTTAAAATTGAAAATTATGACATTTGATACTTTTAAATCATCTCACTGGAGCATTTGTAGGTAATTTGTAATCTTTTACATTGTGTTAGATAAAGAACAGGTCAGAGAGGAATCCTTTCTCTTTGTACTTTTGGATCCTTAGAAGTAGGAATATGCCTAGCAAATCCACATTTCCTATGTATGGGAGTATACCAGAGTAGGCAAAGGAAGAGAATCCTGTTTGGAGAAAGGAGGTGGCAACCAACAGTCAACAGTGGATCCCTCCCAGGAAAGAGTAGGGTTAATAGACCCTAGAACTCCTCCTCCCCCTGTAGAGCTCTGCCACCAGGGGAGCCTGATATCTGAAAAACAAACCCACGTACACATTGGAGAGAGTCCCTGACTCAGGCCTCAGATTTTTTACCTGTGTGAGAGCAGGAACGAATCTATGATGGAGAAAGTGAGTTGATGGAGAGATTAGTGAATCAGAAAATTTAAGGGATAATATGGTTTGTACCTAATTGAATCTGAAATAAATTAAACCACAAAATGTATTTAAATTGTGGTTAGTTTCAATAGTGAGGACAAAACTTAAATTTTAAATTGTTAAACTTTTGTACAAGTTAAATACAATCATCACAAACATGCAGGATTCATCTATATAGGGACCATGCAAACAAATCTGGAAATAACTGATATACATATGAACTAAAAGAAACTAGTTTATAAGAAACTGTAGCTAATTTGTACCAAAAAATTAGGCCTAAGAATCATGTATTGTCTGACAATATGCATTTTTAAATTCTATAGCTCTGCCCAGGATGAATTCACATCAGAACCCTGTAATGAAATTAAAAGAAAAATGTGAGATATATATATATATATGTATATATATATATTTATGTTTATATATAAACAAATAAAGATTTATAGATAATTAAGTAGATATCAGTATTTACTTTTGATATATGCAAATGCACATTCATGCATACTCTGATTCATGAACCCACATATATATTCAGAGAAAGATGATTGAAACTATGAAAGTTCATAGTTGGGAGAATTCATGAGAATAGGGAGTGTCTTTGACACCGTTTCTCAAAGGTCTCACTTTAACAACTGTCTTTGGATCTACTTGGATGAAAGAGGAGTAGGTAATAAAAGGAATATTTCCTTTTTCTGGTGTTTTGCAACCTGAGCATATACCAGAGGAAAAAATAACAACAACAAAAAAAACCTTAGAAATTTTTCAGAATGCCTAACTTTACTAGATTGAATAGGGGTAAGAGTGAATACTATTTGGAGCATGAAGGAGGTAGCAGTGGACATGTAACAGAGGAAACTTCACTAGAAAATATGGATGCATCCCTCACCTCCAGAGCTCTGCTACCATATGAAGTTTGTTGATGCCCCAATCCCCAAAATTACACTATATTGGATTGCACCCCAGCTGAGGCCTGTGACTATTTCTGCTCTTGAGGAGCAGAAAAGATAACCAGGGTGGGTAAAAGTAAGGAGATAATGGAGGGACTAAGGAAGCAGGAAATTAGATGGGATCAAAGGGATGGATATCTATAAACTGAGGTTGAGTTTGAAATAAATTTTAGCATAAAAGATTGTTCCTTATGGGTCAGGTCCATTAGTAAAAAATAAACTTAAAATTTGAGTCATTAGGACCAGCAGATGGCATAATGGTTATGTCACTGGATTCCCATGTGGTTGACCACAGTTCAAGTCCCGTACTCAGTGGCTTAAAACTCACACTGGGCACATGTGCGTGCATGCCTGAAATCCTGAGAGGAGAATAGGGAAGAAGGGATTACAGCATGGCCAACCCCACTGGGAGGTGATTTCTTGCTTCCTGTCTCTGTCTCTCTGGTGAGCACACACACCCTATAGCAAAAAAAAAACTCTCTCTGAAAAGCCCAAACAACAAAAAACTTGATTCATTAAAATATTTTACAGCACTAGGATATTTCTGACAAACAAATAAAGCATATTCTAGAGAAAATTACATATTTGATTGCAAATATAAAGTTACAAAGGGTCAACTAGCTTATAAACTGAAGAGTAATTGTGACTAAGGTAAGCTAACATGTAAGTCTAGCAAATCACATGTATCTTACTATGTATCTTTTTAATATTTTAGCACTTCCCAATATGAATTAAATACAGTAACCTCACATGGACTAGACCAAGAAAGGTAAGACATTGAATGAATACACATATGCATATATGTACATGTGTACATACACACATACAACATATAGTTGAGGATCTTCAATGGTAGGGTATTCACTGTATTACATGGGAATATAGAGTTCCGGCATACTAGTTCTAAAATCCACTCACAGTAAACATCTGAATGGAATATTCTTCATCTTTGAATTGAGGTAGGAAAGGGGTTAGAAGTCATAAAGGGAATCTTCCTACTGTAGTGCTTATTGTCTGTAGTTATTGTGTATGAGGCTTTTTTCACTCCCTATAGTAGGCCAAGGGAGGAGAAAAGTCCTGTACAGAGAAAGAAAGTAGTGGTGGACAGGGAGTAGTGATATCCTCAACAGAAAAGAATAGAGCTATAGAACTTGGATCAGTTCCCTCACTCTCCAGAGTTCTGGAATCATGGGAAGCTAATGCCCCAAATTCAAATCCTCTCATCAAAGATGGAGCCCCTGATTTAGGACCACAGATACTTCACTCTGTGTGAGAGCAGAAAATACATTTATGATGGTGAAACTAAGGAGTCAATGGAGGGGACCAAGAACAAAGAAAATAACTGGGTAAAGGGGATCTGTATCTGTGAACTACAAAACTGAATTTGAAATAAATTAAACCACAAAATTTTTTCACATCGTGGTTAGGTTCAATAGTAAAAAAACTTAATTTAAATCTTGTGCCATTAAATTGTTTCACAGGTTAAGATAGTCATTACAAACATAGAAAGATTCATTTGTGTGCCAGCCTGTGGCCTGGTGGTTAAAGCGGCTGGATCCCACATAGCTGCTTATGCAGTTTGAACTCTAGACCTGCTGGCTTGAGAAACACTATGAGAGCATGTGCATGCATTCCCAAAACCCTGAAAGGAGGAAGAGATGCAGGACAAGGGATTGCCACGTAAACATGCCCCTTGGTGTGCTTTCTCAATAACAGCCCCCACCTGGCCACTATCCTCTCTCCAGTGAGCTCTCTCTGGCAAAAATATTTTTTTTTCTTTTTTTTTTGGGGGGGAGAGGTTTTTGCTATAGGACGCGTGCGCTCGCCAGACAGACAGAGAGATAGAAAGCAAGAAATCACCCCCCAGGGGGGATGGCCACGCCACAATCCCTTCTCCATTCTCCTCTCGGGATCTTGGGCACGCACACACATGCTCCCGGCGTGAGTTTAAGCCACCGGGTCCTGGACTCGAACCGTGGTCGACTATGTGGGAGGCCAGCGACATAGCCATTACGTTAACTGCTAGTCCCACAAAAAATTTTTTTAAACATGAGGATTCATTTGTATAAAGAATATAATAAAAGATCCAAATAACTGTCTTGCTTGTGAATTAATGGTCAACTAGTTTATAAGTGTTCAGAAATTGTAACAATTTGAAACAAAAGTTTAAATCTACATGGTCACTTGTTTGACAGTATGTCCTTTTAAATCCAATAGCTCTACTCCATATGAATTCACATCAGTTCCTGATAATGAAGAGACCACAAAAATGTGAGCTATACATAAGCAAATAAAGATATATGAATGATAGTTACACATGTATAGAAACAAATATATTACTTATATATGTATATATACTTTGACTTCTGGACCTGCACATACATAAGGACCTACACATACATAAGAAAGATAAAGAACAAGATTTAAGAATTTCATTGAATAAGATTTGAGAATTCATTGTCAGAATCCATGGAAATAGAATGTCTTTGACACTATTTCTAACTCTTTTCTCCAGAACATCTATAAGTAACTTTCCACTTTTTTAGTTTGTGTGGAATAAAAACAAACAGGTTATACAAGTTTGCTTCTTCTTGTTAATATATTATCACTCTGGGTCCAGCAGGTGGCATGGCGTTAAAGGCACCAGACTCCCACAGTTTGAGTCCTTACCTGGCAGCTTGCTGTCTTACTTTCTCTCTCTCTCTCTCTCTCTCTCTGTCTCTCTCTGGTGAATGAGTGCCCTATAGCAAATCAAAAAATAATTATAATAATAAAATTTAAAAATTCATATACATGTGTGTGTTTGTGTGTATGTGTAGCAATCAATAGCTTAGTAACTCAGATTTCCTGTGTATGAGATTCTGTTAGAGTCGGCAAAGGAAGAATTCTATATATGTGGAGGAAGAAGGAGTAGTTGTATTATATATAGGGATCAGTGGAGCCCTCAGTAGAAAATAATGGAGCTGATAACTCTCGAAGAATCCCTGACCCTTTAGAGCTTTGCCACCATGAGACGCTGATGTCTGAAACCTCCACTCACTATAACATTGGATGGAGCCCCTGATTCAGGCCTGTAGTTTCTTGACCCTACGTGAGAACAGAGAAAACAAATATGGTGGTGAAAGTCAGGAGTTAATTTGGGAATTCAGAAATGAAGATTTTAGATGGGACTTTGAGATGAACTCATGCCCCTCCCTGACTCATCCAGACACCCATTTCAGTGAAGAGCCTTACTGGATGGCAGGCTGCCTGTGGTAACAGCTGGGACCAGGAGCTCACCCCCTCCCCCACTCACCTTTGGTCTCTCAGGTTTGTTTCTTGGGACTTTGAGACAAACTTGCTGTTTTGTATAGCATGTGGTAGTCAATACACATGGTGTAGTCTCTACTTTGTTACTGAGTTGAAGCTCAGCAGCTCAGTTTGTACCAGCTCTCTAGAAACAGGGAGGACTTTGGGTCACCCAGGATCAGTAACAGAAGTGCAGAATGGCAGAACATAAGAGAGATTGCCAATTTCCTACTCCTGGACATCTTTGAACACTCGGAAATACCTTGAATAATTTAGAAAGGAACGTATAGATCACTATATGACTAGGAACCATTGGAGAGGCACAAGAAGTATGAGCAATCAACAGAATGTCTCTTTCCCAAGGAAAAGCTTCACTTCCACAGACGACACGATGGAACTTGTGGAAATGTCAGATAAACAATTTAGAATATTTGTAGTGATCAAATCGAATGAGATACAAGAGAATAGAGACAATGAGCTGCAGGAGATGAGGAAGTCCTTTATGATTTGAAAGAAGAAATAGAAACCACAAAAAAGAAACAAAATTGTTGGAGATGAAGAATGTGGTACAGGAAATTAAAACCACCCTTGAGAGTATTAAAAGTTTTGATTATGCAGAAGACCAAATCTTGAGTGCAGAAGACAAAACCTTTAACATAAAAAATATCAAAAAGACTGAGAAAACAACCAAGAAAAATGAAAATAATATATCATCAAGTGCCCAAACATCCAGATAATTGGTATCCCAGAATAGGAAGAAAATAATAAGAGTATTGATCATTTATTTCATAAAATACTGGAAGAAAATTTTCCAAACCTAGAAAGTCATTCAAATATCCAGGCCCAAGAAATGCATAAGACCCCAACCAGAATCAACCCAAGAAGATCCTCTCCAAGGCACACTATAGCCAGATTGGCCAAAACCACAGACAAAGACAAGATACTAAAATTGGCAAGAGGGGAATGTCAAGTTAATTACAAAGGTTATCTCATCAGGTTAACATTGAACTTCTTGTCAGAAACAATGTAGGCAAGAAAAGAATGGGGAAATATAGTCAAAATGTTAAATGAAAAACAATTTAAACCAAGAATACTATGCCCAGCAAGATTATCCTTCATATGGAAAAAACATAACATTCTTGGACAAAAAAAACCTGAAAGAATTTACCAACTCTAGACCAGTTCTTCAAGAGGTTCTGAAGGGAGTGCTATACCAGGAAAACTAAAAAGTCAGACAGACAAATTTAAGAGAATGAAAAACAACCAAGAAAATGGCTCACTAAATGATTGGAACATGTCCAGAAATATTGATGATAGTGTTGAATATTAATGGATTAAGACAAAGACTGTAAGAAGAGACAAAGAAGGGCATTATATAGTAGTAAATGGGCTAGTTAATCAAGAAGACATTATGCTATGTAAAATTAATTAATTAATTTTAAAGTATTAAATGAAAAGAAGACATAATGCTAATAAAATGGCCAGCAAATAGTAGGGGCAGTCCAGAGTTGAATGCTATCTTCCAGAATTTAAACGGAAATATCAAACCACAATAGAAGATAAAGTACATGAGTCTGAAGTGGTTAAACAGAATTTTATGAGTTTTGACTAAAACATTGCTGATTTTCTTCTATGCTTTGTTTTCTAGAATTAAGGATTTTAGTCTTCTCTTGAATTGTTGATAGGTCTATGTACCTAACTATTTGAACAGAATCCTAACCTGTTTCCTGGCTCTAAGTCTTAAGCAAAATTCTCTTAAGATTTTTCAATTTTGATTTATTGAAGCTGAAACTGCCTTTTTTGAAAATAAAAAAATATATTAAGAAATACCTATTTAATGACCACAGTAAGCTATATAGCCTCAGCTATGTGCTACTTAATAGTACATTCATTCTACTCACAGAGTTTCATGCCTAAAGTCAAATGTGTGTTCACAGATGTGTATATATCAGCAGAACTTGCTATTGAAAGTAGTTATATAAATCAAGATTTTTGTGAATCATTAAAATGTGGGGAATAAAAAAGGAATGGAAAGCAACTGAAGATACCAGAGACAGTGTAGGAGGAGGGTGGGAAATGGCAGAGGGTGAAAGAGGGGGAAAATACATTTATACACATATATAAGCATATAAAACCACACACACACTCATATATATGTATATACAAGAAAAGGAAAATTATTTGTTGATGATAACATGTATGATTAAGCCACTATACAGTGTATTCTGGATGGGAAATCACATTTTGTATGCTGTGGTGTTCAGAGAATGAATGTAAAATAAACTAATTAAGAAAAGAAAAAGATCCAATAGATTGGAATTGCAAAAGAGTTCAAGATATTGTTGTGAAGTATTTGCTTGAAATTAAACTACAAAATCAACTGTTGACAGCTTTTGATTCTGAAATGTTGAAATGATAAACTTCTTCCATCATTGCTACCTCAAGTTTACTCAGGATTTTTAAAATGTACATGGATAGTATTTATTTGAGTCTAAAAGACAGGTAGCCCTTACTATAGCCCACTGATTGAGATCTAGAATATAACTTAATTGCTTATAAACGTCAGAGCATTTTTAAACTTTGCGGGGATATTTTTGTTTGCTTTATGTATTTATTTATTTTTTTCCTGGCAGGAGAAGCTTTGTAAATAATAAAATACTATTATTTGAAAAAAAAAAGGAAGACATAACATTTATAAATATCTATGCACCCAACTCAGGAGCACCTAAATACATGAAAGAAAGATTGTGGGAGCTGAAAGTAGAGATAGGTTGCAACACTATAATTGTTGGGGATCTCAATACCCCATTATCTCCTTTAGACAGATCTTCTAGTCAAAAAATAAGTAGAGAGATACAGGACCTAAATGATATTATAAAATCAAATGGGCTTGACAGACAGACTTCTATAGAACTTTCTACTCTAAGACCACAAATATACATTTTTCTCACTCTGGCATGGACCCCCTTTTTTTAAACTTTCTTTTGATATTATCATAATCTTATTCATATTACATTCAATAACATATATCTTTACAGTGAATTACACTTCATTTTCCAGCACAATTACAATGCATATCAGTCAAGACAAAGACATTACTACCCACAACATCAGCATCAAATAGCTTTTAATCTTTTCTTCAGATGATTATTACTATTATATATTCTCATTACTTTTTAAAAATATTCAATCACTATATATTATTTGGCTTGTATAAAGGATTTACCCCACACAAAATACTTCTCAGACCAGTCCAGTTGAGAATACTATACATGTTATAATCAACAGGTAATAAACCATTTCCGTGTCCCACTAATGTCATGCCTCTTTATTTGTCCTCTTTCTATCCTTCTATATAACTCTTCCCTTCCCGTTCCACACTGTCTTCAGCATCCTTAACTATTTGCACTGCTTTTATGCCCTCCAATATTTTGATCTCTACCATAAAGTGGATAGTCAGTATATATTAAGTGGATACATACAATATCTTTCTTTCATATCCTGGCTTGCTTCACTCAGCAATAGATCCTCCGTACCTGATCACATTCAATAAAATGCTAGGTTCTTGTTGTTTTTTATGGCTGAGTAGTATTCCATACAGTGTATGTGCCAAACTTTTTCAACCCATTCATCTGTTTGTGGACATTTGGGTTGGTTCCATATTTTAGCAATCATGAGTAATGCTGCAATAAACATTAATGTGCAAGTTTTTTTTTCTGACTGAGCATTCTCCTGTCCTTTGGATAGATACCCAGAAGTGAGATTGCTGGATCCAATGGTAATTCTATTTGTAGGTCTTTGAGGAACCTCCATATTGTTCTCCACAGTGGCTAACCAGTTTACTAACAGTGAAGGAGAATTCCCCTTTCACCACATCCCTGCCGGCATGGAAACTTTTCAAAGATTATCTCCACTTAATATATATCAAGTGTCCACATTCTGTGGCTGAAACTGAATGGCTAATGATTATAAAAAACATAGTA